CACGCACGCACACGCGCCCGGCGTGAGATTTAAGCCACCGGGTCCGGGACACGAACCGCGGTCGACTACGTGGGAGTCCAGCGACATAGCCATTACGCTAACTGCTGGTTCCCTAAATTCTTTATCAGACATTTCCATGATTTCCATTGAACTGTCTGTGGATGAAGAGGAGGTATTTTTTTCCCTTGGAGGTGAGGTATTTTCTTGATTTCTCTTATTTCTTGTGGCCCTGCAGTGATTTCTAGTCATCTGATGGATGGTGTATTTCTTCCTAATTCTTGTTCAATCTGAGTGTTCAGCACCAGGCAGAAGGAGGTGATCTGGAATGTCTTTGCGGTTCCATTTTTATCACTTTGTGCAGCAGATTCAGTGGATTTTGAGGAATATGTTAACCCTAATAGTCTTTGGATGTTTGGTTATGGCTCCCTTAGGTCTGTCTGAAAACACAGTGAATGGAGATTGAGGAGCAGAGTGAAAAGATGAAAGAAAAAGAAAAGGAAACAAAGAGAGAAGAAAAAAAGAAAGAGTGAAAAAGAAGAAAAAAAGAAAAAAACCAAATTATTATTTTTTTTTAAAAAAAAAAGCAAAACTGCATGGTGCTCAAGTGCGCCGCACAAAATCACTGGTTCTCAGGAGCCATGGAGGAGTCTTCTGATGGCTGCCTGTCCTGGATGGGTGGGGGAAAGGGGTTATTAATGAGATAAAGAAGGGGCTGAAAGCCCAAAAAGCCCTTAAAAATTTTTAAAAAGGAAAAATTACAAAAAGGAGAAGATAGAGACTGAGGCAGAGACAGAGACAGTGAGAAGGCTAAAAGGGGCTCCCTACTACTTGAGTTTGTGGGCTGGAGGCAGAATTATCAGTAGAGAACCTTCATTTCTCTTTTTTCCCTGAAATCACTAGTTCTCAGGAGCCATACAGGAGTCTTTAAGGACCTAGACTTTTTTTTTTAGTAGAATACAGGCTGTGGAATTTATAACAAAGATTCAGACATAAAAATGACATAAAGGTCATAAAAGTTTCTTTCTTTGAAATTCAACAATTTGGGGTATTATGGCAAGTATGTGGAATTGGAGCCAAGATTCCTTTTATCTTATTGCTCTGTCATACTGAACATATGATGTCCATCCCTTGCATGGCAAGGAAGACATCTTCTGTCCTGCTGCCCCAAGCATATCGGCTAGAAGGTGAAAGGGGACCAAGGAGGGCATTGTCCTTCTTCTTAGTCGCATGCACTTAAAGTGACACATACTTTTGCACTGACCAGTCTTGAGTCACTCAGCTACACTTAGTGACAAAGGAGAGTAGGAAATTAAAGCTTCAGCTGGGTGGCCATGTGAATTTTGACTGGCATATTAATATCAAGCAAGTTTTTTCCTGTGGAAGAATTGAAGTACCCTGTTATTCTCAATGCCACGGTCTCTTCCAGCCAGCCCTCCTTCATGAGATGTGCCTTTAAGATATCCATTCACATGAGGTTTCCCATTGTTAGCAGTCGCTTTCTTTGCCGTAAGCCTGTGACTTGGAGGAAGTGAGCAGGCAGCTCCAAGCCCAGGTGCAGGCCTCCACTCTGTACTCTGTGCACTCAGTGGCTGCGTCACTTTAGGCAAGTTAAAATAACCTCCTTTGGCTTCAGTTATTGCACCTGGAAAGCTGTGTGAAATTTCACTTGGCAGTTCCTCAAAATTCCCCAGGCTGTGGGTCATCAGTCAAGATATGGGACAGGGTCAAGGAAGGGAGGAACTTCAAAAGGACAGTAGGGTGAGGGCAGAGCTGATTATTTTATATATTTTTTAAAGATTTGCTAAGCGTGAGTCAGTCACCTATGAAGTGTTCAGTGGCTCTGCAAAACTGCCAGGCAAGAATAAGAATCACAGGAACAGAGAAAACAGGAAGCTGGTGTACTGTCAGGTAGATAAAAGCAATGGGTCCCTACCACACTTGTGCTTGTAAGCCTTATTAAACTTAAGATTGATCAAAGGGTTCTATCCTTGTATACTTCTAATGAGATCAGCGCCTCACTTATAAAAACCGCTTAAAGGAATGAATGCAACTTATTCCTTTAGTTTTTTTTTAACTTAAAATAACTTCAAAAAGATGTAAACAACTGTTCTCTGAAAATGGTCTATCACTCTTTGTCATTACTAGCAAGAGCCAGCAGATGGAATTATCAAAATAAATAAAAGGGTGCAGTCTTCTCTGTTTTACACTTGAAGACAAAAATAGAGAAGTTGGTATTTTTAGAGTACAAATTATGGTAGTATTTTGCTTGCAGATATTCAACTTTGTATTATAAAAATACCCCTTTCATAATAAGCAGCAGTGCAAATTTGATCCTGGCGCTGCCACTGGTTGAACTCAGGTCAACCTGCCTGACCTTAACTAAACACCAGGTCTGGCATATACCTGACGCTCAGTCTGGCTCCTGTCATTAACAGTGAGGCTGGCAACCCAGACTGACCCAGTAGCTGCTCACAGAGGAGAATCCACGGTTGGGATTCTTACTCCAGGTTGGAATTAGCCAAGCATCTTACTAACTGGATGTATTTTTGTACGTCTACGGTGTAATTACCCAAGCTCAAAAGCTAATCATGTACTGCTCACATTATTTAACCCGGGCTCCACAGGGAAATGTAAGCCGATCCACGGAAGGCGGAACACTCGCTCCCAAAGCAGCCTCTATGGAAGCAGAGCGTGTGCAGCATGCTGTGTTCCGCGGACCCCAACGTGATACATTCAGGACACTGAAGGCGAGTCCGAGGACAAAGCACGATCTCACAACACACGATCACACCCAAAGGACAAAGGGAACTGCGGAAAAAATAAAACAAAATAAAAGAAGCTAAATATTTAAGAAACAAGAAATGGAAAATTATCTGTCGAAGATAACACGTAGGGTGGCATTTTCGAGTGAATATACAGTGTATTCTGATGGGGAAACTCAATGTGTATGTTGCAATGATATACAGTGAGTGAGTGTAGAATAAATAAACTTAAAACACAAACATATTTAAAAAGAAGAAAAAAAGAACTTTGAAACCATCCCCAACCTCATTGCACAGGCCCCACGGGTGTCCAAGACTTCCGGTGCGCGACTGCAGCGCGACAGGGGCGGGGCCGCGGCCGTAAAGCATTAAAACACAAACATATTTAAAAAGAAGAAAAAAAGAACTATGAAACCATCCCCAACCTCATTGCACAGGCCAAAGCCCCACGGGCGTCCAAGACTTCCGGTGCGCGACTGCAGCGCGACAGGGGCGGGGCCGCGGCCGTAAAGCAGCGCGGCCCGCGTGTGCGTCCCGCCGGCTTTGGGCGCCCTTGGGAGCTCTTGGCGCCACGGCTCATGGCAGGGCCGGTGAAGGGCAGAGGGGCCGGGGCCCTGGACTTGCTCCGGGCCTTGCCGCGTGTGAGCCTGGCCAACTTAAAGCCGAATCCCGGCTCCAGGAAACCGGTAAACGGCTGGGGGCGGTGCGGGGGCGCCCGGGGTCCGGGCGATGGCAGGCCCCTCCCGGCGTGCTGGGGAATGCCCTTGCCCTTTCCCGGAGGGGATGGGACGGACTAGGGCTGCCGGGCCACGGTTCCCCCTAAATGTACCGAGGGAGGTCTTGCCACCTGCTCCCCGTTCTTAATGAGGTTAACATTTAAAAGCACAAGGACGTTAATTCGGGCGGAGGACCAAACTCGCAGAAACTGCAAAATGATTGCCATTCAAAATTGGGTTTAAAATGAAGTGCTTTCCCAGTGTTGTTTTCATTGGAATTCTCTGAATTGATTTATCACGGCACATTTCTTCTGCAACCAATGAATACAGCCTGAAAAGCTAAGTGACAGTCTGCTGTCATTTAAGGGGATCAACTAGTTGCTTCTGTGAAATGACAGTAAGCTAAGGAAAAGATTTTCCTTATAAATTAGTCTTAATATATGTGGGTAACAACAGGCCCACAATAACTGATGTACAATCAGTTCAAAAAAATGTCTTCACTGTCAGATGCCCTTGCTGTGCATGTTTAATTCTAGGAGTTTTTTCAGCTTCAGTCTATTATAGAACCTGTATTCCTTCCTGTTCTTGGACGTTTGCCTTGGAAACAGCTTGGACTTTGGTTACAAGAATGACCTGCATCTGCAGAATCAAAGACGCTAATTCAGTGTGTGGATGTTGGAGCATATAGTAGTGTTAGCCAGTACTGGTTAGTTGCATGAATTAAAAGCATAATAAAAATATATACATCGAAGAAGTGAAGTACAGTTTCTAAAAATGTATTTTTAGATCATGAAGTTCTTTTTCTTCCTTGTAGGAGAGACGACCGAGAGGTCGGAGAAGAGGTAGAAAGTGCGGCAGAGGCCATAAAGGAGAACGGCAGAGAGGAACCCGGCCTCGGCTGGGCTTCGAGGGAGGCCAGACTCCGTTTTATATCCGCATTCCAAAATATGGGTTTAATGAAGGACATAGGTAAGATTGCTTCGCTTTTTATAAATCCCCAAGAGAGCAGGTGACATAGTGGTTAAGGCACTGGACTCCACATGACTTGGTGCAGTTCGAGTCCTGGACCTGGTGGCTTGCTTTCTCACTTTTCTCTCTCTCTGATCAAATTAAAAATAATGGCAATTTTTACAAAAAAAAGTAAAAATCCCCAATTTCTGCTGATAATTATTTAAAATATAGATTGGTAGAAAAAATTGTTATGGTTCTTTTTATTGCCTTAGGGCATTTGTGCTCACCAGAGAGACACACAAAAACACACACAGAGAGAGAGAGAGAGGAAGGAAGGACCCGCCAATGTGGCGTGGTTATGCTGTAATCTTTTTTCTTCCATTTCTCTATCATGTCGGGATTTGGGGCACACACCCACCCACATGGGCCTACTGTGTTTTCCAAGCCACTGAAACTGGAATTTGAACCACGATTACCCACATGGTATCCCAGTGCATAGCACTTAGGCGCTGTGCTGTGAGTGGTTAAGACTCCTTGTAGAAATCTTCAGTTCATTTTGATGCAAACTTTTGCTCCTGTTCCTCTGACCCATTTTTGGTAGTGAAACAGCCTGGATTCGTAGGGGGAAAATCTCCAGGTGCTGCACTCATGCCTGCAGAATGGACATGATGGTGCCTGCACTGCAGATTGGAGGATTAGCTGTAATTTATATGTGAAAGTCTGAGGGGCTGGATGGTGGCCAGCCAGTAATGCAACACTCTGCAAGGCTGACCCATGTAGGAGGCTCTGGGTTTGGGTTCGGATACATCCCTGAGTACTGTGGGCACGTGGACCCTTGCTCTGGGGCTGGAGGTGGATCACAAGGTAGAACCCTGTTGGGGGTGCTGCCTCTGTGTCTCTCACTCACGGAAGCAGTAAACAAACTTAAAAACAAGGTCTGGCCCATTGCAGGTACTACTGCCACTGTTAGTACTTTGAGTTCTGGTAATGCGTAATTCATAGTTATATTTTCCACATAGCTGTTTACTAATAAGTATATAAATGAATGAAATAAATGTGTACAGAGACAAATTATTTTTTGAGAGATTTTTGCTATGGGGTGTGTGTGTGTGCCACAGAGACTGACAGAGAAAGTGAAAAATCACCTCCTGGGGGGATGGCCAGACCCTCCCCTCCATTCTCTTCTTGGGATTTTGAGCATGCATGCACATGTGCCTGGCATGAGTTTCAAGCCGCTGTTTCAGGGACTCCAGCCATGGTTGGCCATGTGGGAGTCCAATGCCTTAACCACTATGTCACCTGCTGGCCCTATTATTATTTTTTCCAGAGGCTGTGTATACTTGCTGGAGAGAGACAGAGAAAGTGAGAAGGCACATCCCCATGGGGATAACCATGCTGCATATCTCCTTTTTTTTTTTTTTTAAGAGATTTTTGCTAAAAGGTGCGTGCACTTGCCAGAGAGGAGAGAGAGACAGAAAAAGGCAGTGAGAGGGAAAGTGAGAAATTATCCCCTGGGGAGATGGCCATGGCCATGCCACAATCCCTTCCCCATTCTCCTGGGATTTTGGGCACATGTGCAGATGTGACCAGTGTGAGTGAGTTTCAAGCTGCTGGTCTGGGGCTCAAACCATGGTTTGACCACATGGGAGTCTAGCACCTTAACTACTACGCCACCTGCTGGCCCCCTGCATGGCTACTTCATTCTATTTTTCCTTCTGAGATTTTGGGCATGTGCGCACACATGCTTGGCATATTTTTCAAGCCATGGGGTCTGGAACTCAAATCACTTGGGATCCAGCCCCTTAACTGCCATGCCATTCCCTGGCCCAAAAGGCAAATTATTTTTAGTGTTATGAAGTACTGGTTTTGTGTCATTACCTAAAATCATTACCAAAAATTCCTATTTTGTATTGTACTCAGAGGTTTATTTTGTTAAACCACAAAAATGATGGCGGAAGGACCAGCAGGTGGTGTAATGGTTACTCGCTGGACTTGCAGTTTGAGTCCTGGATCGGGTGGCTTAAACCTCAACGTGGGGCCAGCAGGTGGTATGATGGTTAAGGTGCTGGAGACTCCCACATGACTGACCACGGTTCGAGTCCTGGACCTGGTGACTTGCTTTCTCACTTTCTCTGTCTCTCTCTGGTCAAATTAAAGTAAGTGAATGAATAAATAAAATTAAAATGAATAATTCTTAAAAAAAAAAAACCTCACACCGCATATGTGTGTGTATGTGCCCCAAATCACAAACCGAGGATGGAAAAGAGACTGCGGCGTGTCCATCCCTCCTGGGGGGTGAGTTCTTGCTTTCTCTCTCTCTCTCTCTCTCTGTCTTGGGCAAGTGCATGTGCCCAAAAATCTCTCAAAAAAAAAAAAAAATGGTGGAGGAAAATACAGGACAAAGCTTTCAGGTGATTTGGAGAAGTTATAGGCACACTAATACGAGTTTTCTAATTGTATGTTGTTCTGTAGCTTCAGACGCCAGTATCAGCCCTTGAGTCTCAACAGACTGCAGTATCTCATTGATTTGGGTCGAATTGATCCTACTCAACCTATTGACTTAACCCAACTGGTCAATGGGAGAGGTGTGACCATCCAGCCACTCAAAAGGGATTATGGTGTTCAGCTGGTGGAGGAGGTGAGTCTGGATTAGGTTTTGGTGTTACATAAAGGACATTTCAAATTTCATGTTATCAACACTCTCCTCCCTTTCCTTTCATCCCGTTGAGTCGTGTTCCTGTCCATCAAGTAAAGGCGATTGCATTCTACTCAGTTGTGGCTTTGGAAATCCAACACACTCTCAGGGCTGGGCTCTGTCCCCTAGTCTTGGAGTGCTCGTCTGTCTGTCTGTCTGTACTGCTTGCTTCTTCTCGTCCTTTGGTTCTCAGCTTAAATGTCACCATATCAGGAAGTTCTTTTTTGACAGCTTTTTATAAGAGCACTTGTTCTGCCGTGCAAGCACAATCTACCTGCTTTTTTCCTTGAATTTGTATGAACACCTGACAATTACTGCTAAGCTAGGAATTTATGTTTGTCTTTCTCACTAGAGTATAAGCTTTCTTGAGAGCAGGTACTTGATTCATTATTATATTTTCAATATTAAAAATACTGGCCCATGATAGTCACTCAATATTAATGGAAGAAAGGAATGAATCAGACCTGATTCTAATTACAGTAAAGCTTTCTGTTCATAGGAATTGACTAGGTGTTTCTAAATACATAGATCGTTAATACACAACAATCAACTATTTCTTATCAATACTATTGCTGGGTAGGTAACTTACGTGTCCACTAGAGGGAAGCATATGTCTTTCTAAAAGCCTTTTAGGTTCTTTTGAAAATCCTTGTGGATAAACACATCATAAATAAAATAATTTGAAAAGAGACTAGAAATATCTGTTTAAGCCTGTTTTCCGTTCAGGGTGTATAAGAACATACACATGTAGCTGAGCATGTAGGAGAGTCTGTGATCCTGTCAACTGTGAAACTGCACGTCCCTCTTCCGGTGCGCCACTGAAGATCTTGGTGTCACCACGGGCTGCTGCCTGCCCGATGTTACTGGTAACATAAGAATGAGCCATACCCAAAGTTGTGGTTCTGCCAATGTGTCCCAGGTGCCAAGATCCACATCTCTGACCTGGGATGGAGGAAGACGGAAGTGATGGAGTTCCCACTCTGTCCACGGTGTCAGTTGAATATGAGCAGCTCTCGTTGGAGGCCCTGGAGACTGGCCGTATTTTTGCAGACCAGCACAGGGGAAGTTGTGGCAGAGGTGGCTTTCATATTCGAGTGGGGCACCACCCTTTCGGTGTCATCTGCATCAACCACATGTTCTGTGCTGGGGCCGACAGGCTCCAGGTGACTATGAGGGGTGCCTGTGGAAAGCCCAGGGCATGGTGGCCAGGGTCTGCATTGGCCAGGTTATGTGTCCATCCATACCAGGCTGCAGAATAAGGAGCATGTGGCTGAGGCCTCTGAAGCCCTATGCAGGGCCAGCTTTAAGTTCCCTGGCCACCAGAGGATCCACATCTCAAAGTAGTGAGCCTTTACCATGTTCAGTGTTGATGAATTTGAAGTACCTCATCCCCGATAGCCGTGGTGTCAAATACATCCCCAGTCGTGGTCCCCAAGACAGGCGGGGAGCCTTGCACTCTTGAGGGTTCACAGTGTGCTGCCCCCGCCAATCACGCTTATTAGTGAATCCTTCCGTCCAGGAAGAAACTGCACTTCCTAATAGCCTTCAGGTGTGCGGCTGTTAAAATCGCGAACATAATCTTGAAAACTTTATTTCAGGCCAGTGGTTGAGTAAGTGCAGTTACATGTAAATTGGTTTACTTTTCCTGGATTTCAGATTTGCAGTAAGTGGTAGATAATAATATTTTGATACCAATTTGGGATTACATGTTCTCAAGGAAACACAAAATAGAAGAAACCAGATACAAAGACACTTCTGGGGCAGGCAGGTGGTGCGGAGGTTACGGCTGCTGGTCGCACATAGCTGACTGCGTGTTTCGTGTCTACGACCCTGTGGCTTGAAAATCACGCTGGGCACATGTGCTTGTACACTCAAAATGCCAAGAGGAGAGTGAAGAGAAGGGATTGCATCACCCCTCTGGGGGTTGACTTCTCACTCTACCCCCCCCACCCTCTCTTTCTGGCAAGTGTGCTCCCCCTATAGCAAAAAAACACGCTGTAGATGATACAGAAGACACTGAAGCTGATACCAGTGCCAGGAATAGGAAGGTGGTAAGCAATCTATAAAATAGTAATGAAAAATCAGAGTTAACCAGTGGCGTGGTGGTTAAGATGGCTGAACCTATATGACCAGCTACTTGGTTCAAGTCCTGGACCCAGTGACTTGAGAAACATGCTAGGCTTGTGTGTGCAGGCCCCAAAACCTGAAAGGAGGAACAGAGGAGAAGGGATTGTGGTGTGATTGTCCCTCGTGGGGGATGTTTTCCCACTTTCCCACTGTCTCTGGCAAGCACACATGCCCTTCAGTAAATTTAAAAAAAGGGGGGGTGGCCTGGCTCCATGACCTGGTAGATAAGGCAACTATTGTTGTCAGAAAAGTCATGATGCATTTTTACATAGAAAAATAAGTCATGGCTTTTCTGATGACCCAATAGATTCCACATTGCCACCTGTGACTTGAGAAACACTGGGCGTGTGTGTGCCTGCTCAAAATCCTGAAAGGAGGGAGCGTTGGAGAAGGGATGGCAATGTGGCTTGCTTTGCTTTGCTTTGCTTTCTTTCTTTCTTTTGAATTTATTTATTTATTTACTTTAATTTGACCAGAGAGGGACAGAAAGAGAAAGTGAAAAAGCAAACCTCCAGGTCCAGGACTCAAACAGTGGTTGGCCATATGGGAATCCAGTGCCCTTAATCACCACGCCACCTGCTGGCCCTGCAGTGTAACTTTTCTCTGGGGCAGGGGACAGGTGTTTCCTTTTCTCCCTCTCTCTCTCTCTCTCTCTCTCTCTCTCTCTCTCTGTCTCTCTGGAGAGTGCAGGCACCCTCTATCTGAGAAAAGAAAAAATCATAAAAGAGCAGTACCTATTTTATTGAATTAAAGATACCATTGATTATAAAAATGCACACCAATATCCGATGTAAAATAGAAAATGTACTTTAGAGTTGATGGACTATTTTCCAGATACGTATACAAATTCTTAATAAAATGAACTTGATTAGGAGCCAGTCTGTTTCTACTGTACCAAAGTAATGATATTTCTGTCGTCACGCAGGAGTGGTGACGCTGCCATCTCTATATTTTTACAGGATCTATTTTGATGTTAAAAATGTGGTACATCTTGGCTAATGCAACTTTAAAAAGTTCTGAATTGGCCTGACCTTGGTGGCGCCGTGAGAGTGCAGCACTCTGGCAGCCATATGGGAGACCGGGGTTGGGTTTCCCGGGCAGCTTGTCCATGCTTGGTGTGGGCACCTGGGCACGGGCCCAAAATCTGCAGCATGAGACCTTGTTGAAGGTGCTTCTCTTTCTCTCATGAAATAATAAACTTTAAACGACCAGAAGTACACTTTGACATGTGGAGTGTTCTTGGAATGCGGTCTTATTACTACTATTTTTGTTAGCTTACAGGCGGTGTGAAAGTGGTGAATGCAGAGTGAGTTTCTGTTGTCTTCGCTTTTTTCCTGAGAGGAGGCCGAACCCTCTGAAGCTCAGCTGTGTCATTCTCTGTCCTCCCACCTGTCCCAGCCCCTTCGTTTCCATCTTTAACCTGCTCTTGGCTTTTAGGGATGAGGAGGGTTCGTTTTTGTCTGTCTCAGGTAGCATAATGCTATGGTTGAGAACAGAGGCTTGAGGAGACTCCCTGTTTAGAATCCTAGGTCTGTGGGGCCAGCAGATAGCATAGTAGTTACGTTGTTAGACTCCCACGTGGCTGACTCTGGTTCAAGTCCTAGACCCCAACTGTGAAAATCACTGGGTGCGTGTGTGTGTTCCCAAGATCCCGGGAGGAGAAGGGAGGAGAAGGGATTGTGTTGTGGCCACCCCCCCCGGTGGTTATTTCTCTCTTCCCCCTCACTGTCTCTGTCTCTCTCTGTTGAGCACACATGCCCTAAGCTGAAAACCTCTTTAAAAAAAAATCCTATGTTTGCAATTTGGGGCAAATTACCTAACTTCTCTATGTTTTGGTGTCCCCATGTATGAAGTTGGTATAGCAATAATCCTGTCATGGGGTGTGAGGCACGTTAAACATTCTGCTCGAGGGCCAGAAGGTGGCAAGGTGGTTACTGGACTTCTGCAAGGCCGACTGTGGTTTGAATCCCAGACCTAGCAGCTTACTTTCTCACTTTCCTTCTCTCTCTCTCTCTCTCTCTCTCTTGCTGGTCAAAAAAATAAAATGAAAATAATGACAATGAATAAAAAATAAAGTAATTTTTTAAAAGAATTAGTTAACTTTATTCATTTTATTTTTTATTTTAATTTGACCAGAGAAGGACAGAGAGAGAGAGAGAGAAAGGGAAAGTGACAAAGCAAGCTACCAGTTCTGGGACTTGAACCGTGATCAGCCATGTGGGAGTCCAGTGCCCTTAACCATCACACCACCTGCCAGCCTCAAATAAAATAATTCTTAAAAAAACTAAAACAACCCTGCTATAATGAAGTGCCAGGAGTGGGTGCTTACATGGGTGTCGACTAAATGCACACACTGGAAGTGCAGTTATTTCTACTTTCAGGGAACGACATGTACTAAGGCAAGGTGGCCTAAAAACGTATAGAAAAGTTTGACTGGACGTCAACGCAGAGATACAGTTTATTAATTCTTCCATGAATGAGAGGGGAGGGAGGAGAGAGCAGCACCCCCAGCAGCGTCCCAGAGCCGTGGTCTGCCTCGTCTTCAGCCAGCCCTGGGTCACGGGAAGCTAGTGTCCTGCGTACTCCAGGAGGCCTCCAGGCTCGCACTGAGCTCTTGTACCGGGTTATCCTGGCAGACTGGGCTCCACCTGAGCACCACTAGCTCTCAAAGTAGAGACACTTAAAGTCGGAATTGTTTTCATGTTAATGTTTCATTATTTCAGGTCCTGCTTCATGGGTGCTTTGTAGGGA